TGCTCCTTGGAATAAAGGCTATGACCATCCTAGATAACATATTAGAAAGCAGAGACATTTGCCAACAAATGTCTGTCTAGTCAAAGCTATGGTTTTTCCAGTAATCATGTATGGATGTGAGAGTTGGGCTATAAAGAAAGCTGAGTGCTGAAGAATTGATGTTTTTGAACCATGGTGTTGGAGACGACTCTTGAGAGTCCCTTGGACTGCAAGAGGATCCAACCAGTCCATCCTAAAGGGAATCAGTCTTGAATATTCATTGGAAGGACTGATGCTGAAGCTGAAACTCCAATACTTTGGCCAGCTGATGTGAAGAGCTGATTTATTTGAAAAGACCCTGATTCTGGGAAAGATTGAAGGTGGGAGGAGAAGGGGATGACAGAGGATGAGATGGTTGGATGGCATCACCGACTGGATGGACATGAGTTTGAGCAAGCTCCAGGAGTTAGTGATGGACAGGGAAGCCTTGTGTGCTGTAGTCCATGGGATCACAAAGAATCAGACATGACTGAGCGGCTGAACTGAAATTCAGTGAAACTCAGTAATGGAACAACTGTTTTGTTCAAGATTGAGAAAGGAGTCTGCCAGGGCTATGTGCTGTCACCCTGTTTGTTTAATCTATACTGAGCACATCATGAGAGATGCTGGGCTGGATTAGTTACAAGATAGAATCAAGACAGGTGGGAGAAACACCAACAGTCTCAGATATGTGAATCGTACCACTCTAATAGCAGAAAGTGAAGAGGAACTAAAGAGCTTCTTGATGAAGGTGAAGGAAGAAATTGAAAGAGTCACTTAAGACTAAAGAACAAAAAATCTAATATGATATCTGGCCCCATTACTTCATGGCAAGTAGAGGAGGAAAATGTGGAAATAGTGACAGATTTGCTCTTCTTGTGCTCTAAAATCACCACAGATGGTGACTAGCCATGAAATCAGAAGATGTTTGCTTCTTGGCAAGAAAGCTATGACAAGTCTAGACAGTGTGTTGAAAAGCAGAGACATCACTCTGCCAACAAAGGTCCATATAGTCAAGGCTGTGTTCTTCCTAGTGGTCACATATAGTTGTGAGAGCTGGACCATAAAGAAGACAGAGCACTGAAGAGTTGATCCCTTTGACCTGTGGTAGTGGAGAAGACTCCTGCATGTCCCTTGCACAACAAGGAGTGAAACCAGTCAGTCTTAAGAAAAATCAACCCTGAATACTCATTAGAAGGACTGATGCTGAAACTGAAACTCCAGTATTTTGGTCATTTGATGCTAACAGCTGACTCACTGGAAAAGTCCCTGATGCTGGGAAAGATTGAGGGCAGAAGAAGAGGGCATCAGAGGATGAGATGGCTGGATGGCATCACTGATGCAATAGAAATGAACTTGGGCAAACTTCGAGAGATGATGAGGGACAGGGAGGCCTGGTGTGCTGCATTCCACAGAGTCACAAAGAGTCAGACATGACTGGGCAATTGAGCTCAACAAGAAGTCCCTAAGTAAAGAACCTGGCTCAATCAAGTCTGAACTTCTACCATGAGATGATAGATGACTGCGATTTTAGGCCACTAAATTTGGGGCCAATTGTATGCAGTATAGAAAAGCATTCAGGGAAATCTGTACCAGTAGGGAAAGTAGGAGTACACAAACTTTGACCTTGCCAAGGTCAAAGAATATTCAGTTTCACATTCTGTCCTGCAAAGGCAAAGAGGGATGGTTGAAATGGAGAGCAATCAGGATGGGGAAAGCAAGAAACCAGATTCTAAAATAGGCTCAAGGAGCTCGTGGGCTGGTGAAAAGATGTTTGGTCTCAGAAGAAGAAGCTTAATTTCTATCTTCAAATGCTGAATGAGCTGTCTTGCATCAGAGGTATTAGACGTGACCAAATGACCAGAAGCACAAGATGGATGGTCTCTCAACATAAGGAAGAAAGTTCTAACATCCAAGATGCCTAGAAATGAAAAGGACTGCATTTATCATTTGCAATCCTAATTTCTTCCAAGTACACAATGTACAATTGAATTAAATGGGAAACTAGGGGAGGAATCAAGCTAAATAAGTGGAGACTAGAAAACAGACCATAATCATGGGTTGTATTAAAAGCTCCCCCAACCCACAGTCTCTATGAATCTATGTTCAAATGCACCATCAAAGGATTTAAAGCACACTTTCACAGATTGAAGCTAAGAATGTGGGGGTGATGCTTAAATGTATCTTCAAAGAATTAGTACCACTTTCACGGATTGAAGCTAAGAACGTGGGGGTGAATGGAGATGGTGTTGGGTCAGGAACAAATTGACACCTGAATCTCTCCCTTCCTGGCAGCTTCCCAAATGAAGAGCATAAACCAAGGGAAAGGGAAGACTCCAGCGCACTCAGGGGCTTTGGCCCAAACCTCAGAGTAGAATTCTGCCAGGTGTGACTGCATCTTGTAGAATACTCTGACTCACGTGAGGGTTTCCTGATGGTCTGATACCAAAGCACTCTAAAGGGCTATGCTGATCATTTTACCCCCAAAACACAAGTCTGAGTCTTGGACCTTAACACTTCTGATTTTAGAAAAGACAATTCCTGCCAAGGAAAAGCAGAAAAAAGTAAAGAAGACCAGGTAAGGAACCCAATGACCAGAGGGTGCTGACCAATTTACATTCCCACCCACAATGTAGGAGGGTTCCCTTTTCTCCTGATGTAGTTTTTCCTATTCCTAAGCACTGGATGCCTTCTCAGTGGGCCCACTCAATCTGGAAATTCATGTGTTTCAGTTCTAAAATTTCCTATCTGTATCATTTCTGTGAGTTCCCTATTCTCTCCTCCCCCACATGAAAGCTGGGTGTGGTAAACTCAGAGGTGTAATAAACATTGTTAGCAGGTGGCTTGCATGTTCGCACAGCTTTGAGCCCTACCCAGGGTATATGGGAAGGGAGTACCTGCTTTTCCTATCCTTGGTTCTAGAGAATAAGGGCCTTCCTTTCCAGAAACATTGCCTAAGTAGAGAAAAGCAGGCAATCCCCTAACCCCCAAAATGTTCAAAGCCAGCGGAAAAGCAACAGATCTGCAGTACTGAATCACCCTCTCCTCTGAGTCCATCTGACTACTGCAGTCTGAACTGACCAATTCAGCTGAATTGGTCCAACTGACCAATTTCTTCTAGAAAACCTTGATGCCCACCTTCTACATCCCTCTCCCTATAGGATAGAACTCCCTGTGTAGGCTTCCCACCCAACCTTTTTTTTAATTTTTATTTTAATATGGAAGTATAGTCAATTTACAATGTTGTGTTAGTTTCAGGTATACCGCAGAGTGATTCGGATGTATGTATATAAATATCTCCATTCATTTTCAGATTCATTTATCACACCGGTTGTTGCAGAGTACTGAGTCGAGGCCCCTGTCTTACACAGTTTTACACATGGTGGTGTGTACATGTTTACCCCTCCCACCCAGCTTTCATTGCAAGTAGCTTTCTCCCCTCCATTTTCTCTGTTCTTACTTTCTGAAACTTATATTGGCTAGATAGATGTTAGACCTGGACTTCATGGATTACCTAATTTTATCTTTTCCAATTTCTCATCTCTATTATTTTTGTACTTCTGGCTGAGACTTCTGAAAGCTTACCTCCCAACACATCTATGTAATTGTTTTAATTCCTGGTATTATATTTTTAATCTCCATTAACACTTTATTTTCAGACTTTTTCTTCTACATACAGCTTCTTCTTGTTTAGGGACAGCAATAGTTTGTCTGCTTAGTTATGGTGAGTTTCTAAGTTTTCTTCTGCTTCCCACCATGTCCTTTGTACTCTTTTTTTTCCTGTGGTGTTTGCTTGCTTTTGTTTGAATTTTTGACATTATTTTGTCTCTTGTTCACACTTAAAGCACTCCTTAAATGCCTGGTGGCTTTCAGCTGTCCATAGTTCAGCTTGAGGAACTCAAATTGGTTGGAAGCACGAGGCGGAAGAGGGAAAGCTTATCAGCTGAGGAGTGACAAGGACGCCACTGGCTTCTCTTTATTAGAGAGTAGGGAATTTTGCATCTCTTCAAAGCCCACTGCACATAAGAACTGCTGCCTCAGAGATGGTTCTCTCTGTACTTTCATGAACTCCCTATCTACACTGCCTACTGTGTCTACTCTGTGGTCAGAATAGCTATTGAAGACCCTCTGTTTTGATCAGGCATAAAAACAGTAGCCAGTTTATAAGTGCCATGGAAAAGACATGTGTTCCACAAGCTTCCCACATGGCTGACCACTTCCATGTGGCAAAGTGACTCACACACTTTAAACATTTAACCCTCCTTCTGTGCTGCTGTCTCCTGGCCCTGCAAATTTCAGCTTGTTGAACTATTCCATTGGTAAATGCCACCAAGGGAGCTGGGGATAGACCACAAGGTGGCACAGCCACCTCTCTGATCCTTACAAGAACCATCACCAATGATCATCAGTGATTCCATCTTCAGAGGAGAACATCAGAGTCCTCACTTTGGTTTGATGCCTAAGCCCTGGTTTGTGCCATTGTAAAAGGAAAGAGTCAATTTTGACTCTTCCATGCTAGATCTGTTTCTTTGGCCACTTTTGTTATTATAGTCACACATAATGGCTTGCCTCAGAGAATCCCACCCCTCTGCCTGACTGGTAAGCTGAAGTACCTTTGTTCAGAGCTCTGTCTTCCCGTGGATGGCAGGAAGGAAGAAATTAACACAACCCCCTGCCTGAGGTTTGCTATTCTAGGAGATACTTGTTAGATTTCTTTCCTCACCTCCCCCATCTCTGATCCATAAAAGAACCTGGCACCTAGACCCCAGCAAGATGGTTATTTTGAAACACTAATTTGCCAACTTCTCAGTCAACCAACTTTCTGAATAAAGTCGTCTTGTGCAGCCAGCAGAACAAGCTTGGACTCAGTAACACCGTAACTGGCTTTCACCTTACCCTGTGGAATTTACTTTTGTTCTACAAAAAGAATGTTTCCAGGGGGACAGGGTGCCACCATTCCACGTGGAACTGCCAGGCAAGGTGGTAAGAGCACCAGAGGAAAACCCAGAAGATGCTCCTTCTCCTGCTCAGCTGTCTCCTGCCTGCCACCAATGGGAAGAACTGCCTCCAATGCTGGCAAGAGCTGCCTGCACTAATAGATTATGACCTGCAGATTCTTTGGGGCACCCCAGGGCCACCTGCAGAGCTCTCCCAAAGCCTCCATTCCCTATTCATGAACAATCATTCTTCTCCTGAAAACTCATACCTTGGTGAGGCACAGCCAGGAGACCCAGGGATCAGCACTGACCCCTTTACCTGGCCCAGGGTCTTAATCCCCTGACTTTGTCCCAAACCCCATTCTCAGGTCAAGACCATTTGGAGGAAGCAGCAGGAACATTATTCACTCACATAGATAAAGCCATTAAGAAGCTTCGAGATGGTGAGGAAGCCTAGAATCCTAGGGCCCCAGGGCTTGGGTTAACAAAACCTGATTGTCCAAGGCATCCCCTGAAGACCACTGGCATGTGGTGGGGCAGTGTTGTGAAGGGTGGGATTGGACATAGCATCTACCTGTGTGCTCTACAGAATTTCTGTCTGAAAAAAACTGGCTTAAATTCCTAATCTTGAGGAAGTTAGGTTATTGACTCCACCTATGAAACACACAGTGAAAGCACCCCTTCCCTCTTGTTTCACCCAGATAAACCATCACTTCTGGAAGAGGTTCGTGTCCTGAAGCAGCAATTTTCCAAGGAGCTGGAGGATATATCTGAGGGGCTAAAGGACAAGGGTGAGAGGTGGGGCTGGCCCCTGCTCATCACCCAGCCCGTCACTTCCCAGAGACCTGGTGAGGCAGAGTCCAATTTGCGGCCCCTTTTGGGCCCCTCCCCTGCCCTTGCCTGGGGCACCTAACCACACTTTCTCCCAGCTGCAATTCCTGCTCACACCCCAGTCCCTCCCAGCTCTGTCTGCCTCCCCAGCACCTCAGTCTCTCTACCATTTCACCCTCCTGGGCAGCCTGCAATGAGTCCTGTGGTGAGTATTTTGGGGACCAGGCCTGGGTGAGGGGTGAGGGGCACCTGACCCTCTCTAAGGCTCCTACCCATCCTTTCTAACAGACATCCGCTCCACATTGGAGGTAATCAGTTGCACCACGTGCCAGAAACACTTCCTTACCTGCCAAGACCCTGCTCTCTGCCCAGGTGAGTGGCCAACCAACCATCTTGGTCTCCAGCCTCCCTGCCTTCACTCCAGGTCTGTTGTTGTCTTTGTCTGGAATGTCTCCTTCCTCTGTCTACCCCTGATCCCTTTGTGCTCCCCATCCTCCCTGGGGAAGGTCATTTCCCAGGATATCTGCATTCCACATGTCCATCTTCAGAGCCTTAGAGCCATCTGCCTCTAGGACATGTTCTCAGGGGGCCTGTCAGGTCATGTCCAAACCCATCTCAACTTCCCCAAATCTACTCTTCCTTCAGGCCCCCTCTCAACAAATGTCTCAGTCAAGTCCTCAACCTCCTAAACCAGGAGTCTTCCTCCCTTACTCAGAGCATGTAGTCACCAGGTCTTGCTAAAGAATTCTTCGGCGTGTTACCATATGAGACTTCCAACCTCCTCAGACAGCCTCACCTCCTACCTGGATTGTGGCAGAGTCTCCTAACTGACCTCCCTGCCTCTCCTGGTCACCTCTCGCTCAGCAGTGAAAGAACCCTCTCTCTCAAGGAGCCAGTCTACTTCTGACACTCCCTGTCATAACTTCAGTGGCTCCCAGTGGCCCCCAGATAAAGTGCACCCACCTGGGGAGGCCTGCCCGCCTGTGCCCTCCCCTGTCTTCGCAGACACGCAGAGCTGCTGACATGGAGCTTCTGACCTGGAGCACTCTGTGTCCTCTGCTTGGAACAGTTTGGCTCCTTCACCATCTGAACTGAACTCCCAGTCTTTCAAAGTCCAGCTCAGAATTCCTGTTTCCTAAGAAGCTTTTCATGACTAGCTCTGAGCTAGCCGACCCGGAGCTCGTCAACCCTCCCAGAGCCTGTGCTCTGCCCTGGTGCTCCCTTGAGACACCGCAGCAGACTCTTCGGTTTGTCTCCCTTCTAGAGATCAGGGACCCTGTTTACTCATCTCTAGCTGTAGGTGGGCATACAGTAGGTGCTCAGCAAGTGTCTACAAACAGGTGACTGAGTGGGTAAGAATGCAGTCTCCTCTTGGAGCTGAGATGGCTCTGTCTGCTCCCTAATCACTGGCTCTCCCTTTCCCCACCTCCCCGCAGCATGGACTGGGAAGAACTTCCGGTGGGCTATGGGCATCGGCATCGCTCTGCCCCTGGTGACCCTAGCTGGAGGTGGGTGAGTGCCTGCTCCAAGCCCCATGTTCCCAAGGAAGACACACCTACTGCTTGACTGACCCATCTCCACCCTGTTTCCTGGCCCAGATGTTACATTTTCTGGCTCGAGAAGAAGAAAAAGAAGAAGGACAAGGAGGCACAAAAGGTCCTGGGACATCTAGGATCCCCAAGGAGGGAAAACTGTTTCTGCCTGGGGGTAGCAAGTCTAGAGGCCCCAAATCTGGTTCCCTGGGCCTGGTTTCCTAAGGAGTGTCAGATTGAGGGCTGGGACTCAGGAGAGCCACTATCAGCCCCCAGTGTGAGCAGACCCATCCAGGGCCAGGTGCCTGGGACAGAGCAGGAGCAAAGCCCTCAATCTGCAACTGACCCACAAAGTGCTCCCTGCCTATAGCTGTCATCATCCCTCTGTAGCACCCACCTCTACCCTTCACCACCCTGTTACCTGACTGCATAGGCTGCCAACAATCCCCCTGGCCCTCTGCTCCTGGTTGGGTTTGGTCAGCTGGAGGTCAGAGGCAGAAGCAGGCCTGCTTCTCCTCTCTTGGCAGGGACCCAGCTGGCCACTTGTCACCTTCAACTGAACAAAGGTCCCAGGTGCTGTCAGGAAGCTCTCTTATCTCTGGGTTCTGGTAACTCTCCCTCTCCCAACCCCTCCAACCTGGGGTGGTAACAGCTCTGAAGTTCTGAGACCCAGGAAACTGCATTCTCTCTTGAGGTTTCTCTATACCCATGCTCTGTAGGTGTCTTTTATTAAAACACTCTCCTTGTACTCTGATGCACTGTGCTATCTGCTTCCTGCTGTACCCTGCATGGATGCAGCTGGCACTATGATCCTCCCCACACGGGCCCACAAGGACTGTCCCATGTCCTCAACCTCTTCCCGCCAGCCCAACACCCTTACCTTTCAGAAAAATCTCTCTCCTAGTCCCAGAAGTGGCAACTCCACAGGATCACACTAGCCTCTCCTGATTCCAACACCAGAGTTGAGGGCAGCAGTGGCCTGGGCCCCTTGAGGCGTTCCCTTGTCCGGGTGTGGAAAGCATGGAGTGCAAGTGTTGGTTGCTCAGTCATGTCCGACTCTGCGACCCCATGGTCTGTAGCCAGCCAGGCTCTTTTGTCCATGGGTGTGAAAGAGAGGAGGTAAGAGGCCAGTTGGAAGCCCCAGCAAGAGCAGGGACTAGCAGAAGAAACCCAGAAAACAGGTTTCAAGTCACATCAGTAGCAGACCTCACCTAGGAACACCCAAGTTGCCAGAGGATCACAGGTGCTGCCAACGGTGAAATTTACTGGCTCTGTCTGTCAGAGGACTTGCCTCATCCTCTTCCAGCTTCCTCCAGATCCCTTTCCTTCTCAGCCCTCAAGGGTTGAATGGAAATCCTGTGACCCTGAAGCACGGCTCTGCCCTTTCCCCTCAACCCTGTGCCCCTTCCCACTGATCCCCCAGCCTCTCAGTTTTGGTTCAGGCTCTCCAGAGCTGGAGACTGAACAGGAGGCCACACCCAGATCTAGGACCCGGGTCTGCAGGTTGACTCCCAGGACTGAAAGGAAGCAGGTCTGAGGCCAGAGCTACAGATGGGCAGCCCAGACCCTGGGCTCAAATCCTGACTCTGATGTTGAGGTTCTGGATCCCCCTCTCTGCATGTGTTTCCCCTCTGAGCACAGAGCAGGGGATGCAGTGTTCTAGCCAGGCTGGTGTGCCCACTGGGTTCATAACTGCCATCCCATATTTGCTCAGGCTGTGGGTGCAAAATCAATGCCTCATCCTCTTCCCCTTCTACAGTCCACTGAAATCCTGCTGGCACCCATGGCCCATCTCCTAAAACAGGGTCTCTTGTCCCCTCTGGTTCTACTGGTGTTCCCTCCTCAGAGCTGGCAGCTAGGCTGGAAGTAGGCTGACTTCAGCATCACCATATGGCAGTAAGGTACCCTCCCTGGGCGGGGGCCAGGAGAAAAATGCAAGAGACCAAGGTGAGACATAAACAGAACAGAATGCAAACAGCAGCCTGGGTGGGAAGCATCATGGCCAAGGGCAGCTGTGGGTGCCCAGCTGCAGGCATCTCCAGCTCACCACACCAGGAATACAGGAAGGCCTCCTGGAGGTGGTGTCTTCAACTGTGAGGCCAGGGAAGATGGAAGGGAGGGAGGAGTGTTTTCACTGAGGATCCCAGCATTACACAGAGAGGTACAGAAGAACTTGAAAGAGTTCAAGAGCCCCAAGAAACATGGCTGAAGGGAGAGGTCCAGATAAGAGGCTGGTGAGAAGGAGGATAACAGCAGATTCCAAGCCCATGTGGGTCCAAAGCAAGCCTGAGAAAAAACCCACGTGGGACTCCTGGCACAATAGGTGGGTAGGGCAGGCTGGGGGAGAGGCAGCAGAGGGTTTTGTCAGAGGCAGACCGAAGTCCCCAGGGGGCAAGAGCCCATAGACATTGGGAAAAGCATATGATCAGGACCTACTCATAGCCATTCTGAATGACTGGGCAGAACCCCAGTAGCTGTCATGGAACTCTGGGGGTCTGTGGTTCTCTGCACGTCTGTGAAAGCTGGTTGTCACCTAGGACATAGAAAAAGTCAAACTCCCTAGGCTGTGATTTGTTTTCCTATTTGTATTTAAATTGAGACTTAGACTACTACCTCAAAGGAATCCAGAGCAACTGTTTTCTGGTGCCTGCAGTAAAAGCAGGAGACCCTGGTGTAATTTATACGAAGTACGAGCTTGTGTATTTGTATGCATATATCTCTTATCAACAGATTTTTTTTTATTATTTGTTGGCATATTTGCATGAAAACTAGATATAATGCTTTCTGCTAGAGTAGAAAGATTAAGGATTTTGGGGTCAGGCAAATGTTGACCAAAATACAGGCTCTGGAGGACTCCTGCTTCTGGCTGTGACAGGCAGCTCAGAGCAGACCAACACTCCCACCAAGGGCAACTATAAATAAAGCATGTCCAAAGAGCAGAACAAGACAGGAAGTCTGTTTAGGGGTGCCTGAGGTCCCCAAGTAAAGAGAGTTTTCTGCAGTTAGCCCACATCCTGCCATGACTGTCCCTGGGCATTTCAGGCTCAGCAGATCAGGTTAAGAGGCAGGCTGAGGTGCTGGACCAAGGATGACTGCCATGTTTGGAGCAGCCAAGAGACTTTCAGCAATACCACTGGACCGCTGATTTACAAGTTGGAGTTCTAGCTTGCCCACACAGAATGAGAGGTCCCTGAAAACAGGGGGATGCCTTCAGAAAGCACTGTAGTTCTTTCTGCTCCTCCAAGGTGCCTCCCTATTCTTAAGCAGCACAAGCTTAAGATTTCTGAAGAAAGAAATCAAGCAGAAAGGATCTGAAATGCAATTTATCAGGGATTGGAATGCTAGGGAAATAAAAGTTGGCATTCATGACCCACATAAGAAGACAAACTTTGATAAATACCCCAGGGTATTGGTTAGAAAGGTTATAGCTTAAAAGAGGGAGTGTATCAGTGGCAGACTAATCCTTACAAAGATGGAGCTCAGACTCACAACCCCTCAGTCTCTGACAAAATTGAAGAGACCTGTTCTTCCTCCATATCACTGCTGAAGGAGAGAGTAAATACTTTTGGAAGGAAAATGATACCATCTAGAACCACTACTATGTTTTATTTATAGGGTCTAGTATTCAAATAAATATTAACAGGCACACAAAAACAAGATCAAGAGAAAAAGCAGATAATAGAAATAAGTCTACAAGGGATCCATATATCAGAGTTATCTGTTATACATTTTAATAACTAGATGAAGGCATCCAAAAATACTTTTTCAGATTTCCAGATAAAATTGACATTATGCATTGTGTTAGTTTAAGGAGTATGTGTTGATTTTACATCCTTATATATTGCAAAGTAGTTACCACTGCAGCATTAAATAGCACTTCCATAAAGTCACATAACTACCTTTTTATGATGAGAACATTTAAGATCTACTCTTTGAGCAAGTTTCAAGTATATAATACAGTATTATGAACTATAATAATCATGCAGTAGTACATTAGATCTTTAAAACTGATTTGTCTGTTAACTAGAAGTTTGTACCTTTTGACCAAAGTCTCCCTATTTCTCCTGCCCACAAAACCCCTGGCAACACCATTCTACTCTGCTTCTGTGAGTTTGTTTTCTAAAGATCCCACATATAAGTGATACTGTATAGTATTTGTCTTTCTCTCTCTGACTTATTTCACTTAGCATAAAGCCTTCATGTTTCCATCCATGTTACTGAAAATGGCAGAATTTCCTTCTTTCTCATAGCTAAATAACATTTCATTATCCATTCATCTGTTGACAGACTTGGGTTGTTTCCTCCTCTTGGCTATTACGAATAGTGCTGCAAAGAACATGGAAGTGCAGATATGTCTTCAAGAGGCTGTTTTCACTTCCTTTGGAAATATAACCAGAAGTGGGATGGATGGTGATATGGTAGTTCTATTTTTCATTGTTTAGGATCCTCCATGCAGTTCTCCATAGTGGCTGCACAAATTCATATTTCCACTAAAACTGCATAAGGGTTTCCTTTTTTCTACATCCTCACTAGTGCTTGTTAATTCTTGTCTTTTTGATAATAGCCATTCTAATAGGTGTGAGGTGGTATCCCATTGTTTAGATATTCATTTTCCTAATGGTTAGTGATGCTGAGCACCTTTTCATGTACTTGTTTGTAAGTATTTAGAAAATGTCTATTCAGATCTTCTGCCCATTTTTAATTGAATTGTTTGGATTTTTTCCATTGAGTTATCTGAGTTTAATATATTTTGCATGCTAACTCCTTATTAGATATTAATATATAATTTGCAAATATTTTCTCCCATTCCATATGTTGCCTTTTCATTTTGTTGATGATGGTTTCTTTTGCTGTGGAGAAGCTTTTAAGTTTGATACAGTCCTGCTTGATATAGTCCCCCCTTATTGCCTTTGCAAAAAAAAAAAAATCACTGCTAAGACCAACACCAAGGAGGTTTTTTCCTGTTTTTTTGTTTGTTTGTTTAAGAGTTTTAGAGTCTCAGGTCTTATTTTCAAGTCTTTAATTCATTTCAAGTTAATTTTTGTGAGTGATAAGATTGGGGCCAGTATCAATCTTCTGCATGCAGTTATGTAGTTTTCCCTGCATTATTTATTGAAAAGATAT